TTTGCTTTTCTTTTCTGCTAGGAGAACTTTGGTTTAAACACGGGTGATCTAGATTTGTTTTCTGCTTCACCTGAGTAAAGAGGAAAGAGTAAATGACTTGGCATTCTGATTTTTATTCTAAATAACCGCTTCAAAACCAGTATTCTATGAGTTCTAAACTCCAAAGTAGTATATAAAGAAGGCTTGGAGATAGTCAAAGAAATGAAAGTTTCTGAAAAGCAGTCGTATTTTCCTAGGGGTGAAGAAACTTCAGTAATACATGTGTCTAAAGCAAATCAGCAGCCCAACAGAGAGAAGAGGTGACCATAGTATCCCTCCTCTGGCCTCCTCTGGGATGTGTGCATTTCTCAGCCTGTGACTAGATGTGTAGCCATCCATTTCCACTGAAAAGTCAGCTGTCTCTTAGCATCTGCTTTCCATTGATTTTTCTTCCTCTTCCCAGAGAGTTAATTCTCTTATAAGAACCCTCTCTAAGAGCTTAAAGCCTCCCTTGACTCCTGTCGCCACCCAGAAGGCATTTCTCCTCCTCATAGTTCTTTCTGCCCCAAAGCCCCTTTGGCTTGGCGACTCCTCCCGTGGCCTTTCCGCCACGGTTTCTGGTTGTCCCCTTCCTTCAACCAGCCTTCCCTGTCTTAGTTAAAAACAAGGGCGACCTGCTGGCAGTTCTTGACCCCTTGCCGCCACGTCACGGTCCCAAGCGCTCAGGCTGGTGAGATCCCCAAATGTAAGCTAGATAAGCTCAGAGTTCTGTTCTTGGCTGATCTGAGCAGTGCAGTTTGCTGCTTGGACTAATGATCTGAGCTTTATTGACACGCAGTGGAAGAGAAAGCCTCCTGTTGAGGGAAGCAATTCATTTTTCCTCTAAATTTTAAAAGGAGGAAGAGGAAGGTTTCCCACTGCACTCCTCTGGCTGCCTCTCGTTCTCTTCCTGTCTGTCTTTGAAGAAGAAACAGGACCCTTTTAGTTTTCATCCTGGAACTGTTTCCTTTTATTCCTACTTCCTGTTAGTTAAGAGGATTTGAGGGATGGAGAGGCGAGTGGTACAAGAGACCGTCTTGGGCCCCAGAAGTAGAAGAATCCTTGTCTTCTCCCACTCCCTCAGAACTATAAAGATCCTGGCGACCTGACTCATCCCCTGTTGACATGCTGAGACTGCACTGACTGAAATATGTGTTCCTTCTGGCTTATTGATTCCAATTCCGTTCATGGATGTTAGAGTAGAGAACAGCCTCCTTGGGGAGGCGGGGGGTCCTCTCAGCCTTTGTCGTCTAGCAGGGAACAGCTGCAGCGGAGACAGGTTAAAACCAGGGCTCTAAGAGCATGACTCAGCAGCTGGGTTTCATGTCCAGCCCCCGAGAGGGACCCCAGGACCTGATCATCCTCCTCCAGTATATAATGGAAGTCGGCGTTGTAGCTTCTCTTTCATCAGAGACGGGGAGGAATTTTTGGCAGGCCCCTGGCTTTGTCCTTAGCATCCAGCAGGGAGTTTCTGGACACCTGACTTAGTTTTAAGGAAGGCTCTACTGGAGATATATTTGGGGTGCCTTAAAATAAAGGCCAGAGCTTCCTTTGAGCTATCTCGAATCTTCTCTCTTGTTAGTGCTGATGGACTTCGGGTTTGCAGAGCTAGTGCCAAGCCCTAGTGTGGGAGGAGAACCCACAACAGATCACTAGTCACAGGGTTGGAAAGACTGATGGCTGGAACCATAAATGATCTGGGAGTAGCCAGAGCTACCCAACCATCTGTCAGCATCGGGGAACTTGCTGCCCAGGTATTTGATTATCTGTGGGGCTGATGGTGAGGAGTCTTCCCCGGTCCTTGAGATTCTTTGAGCTGTTAAACTGCATCCAGGGAAAGGAACGGAAACCCCACCTCTGGGTGGTTTTCCTCATGGAGCAGATGCACATTCCTTGAGGGTCCTTTAGTTCCAGGCCTGTGTTAAACAGGTGCACTGGATCTGATGGCCGCTCAGAACCTGTACAGCAGGGATCCTGCCTCCTCCCTGCCCTCATCCCCCCTTGTCTTTTTGCCCTCATCTCCCTCCTTCCCATCCCCACATTAGAGTGTGATAAGTAAGCAAGTGCTTATCAGGAATTCTTGAGGCTGCTGATCTTCACGTGGCATTTTCTGGCTTCCTGCCACAAAGCAGGATTTAGCCTAATACCCAAATGCTGGAGGAGATGGGCTCTTGGGAACTGCCCTTTCAACACTGTTTAAGGACTTGGGTGGGGGGGGTGCCATGACCAGAGGACAGATTGATGCCCTGTGACTCCTACAGCCATGGAGGTTGTAAATAGCCGTGCAGCAGGGTCCCGGGGCCTCAGCCTTTAATTACTTCTCTGCAGTCGCTCTGACCTTGTCACACCTAAGCTGGGTCACCCATCATACTGGCTTCTTGAGAGTTTTGTCCCCAAAGCAGGGTCCTGTACTTGAAAGCAAATTGATAGTATTTGCTTGTTAATCCCTCTGCAGTAGCAGACCATAAAAGCTAAATTTGTGACATGTGAGGTGTTTGTTGGCTTCTTTATTAGTCAGGAACATTTCTAGAAGAGAGTCCCCTTATTCTTATGAGCCCTTGGTCAAAACACTCAGCACGACCTTAAAGCATTTGATTTCTGAACCATATTGTCCTCCTTCTTGCAAGACCAGTTTCCCTGGCCCTTCTGCCCCATTGCCTGCAATAATGAATCGTTATGATTTTAGGGGAGGCTCTTGTGAGGCTCAATAGAGCTGCCACAGGTGAAAAATGAAGTTTCCCTCATCCAGCCACTGAAATGAACACATCCCTTCTGAACTCTGGGTGTATCCCCCCCTGAAATTATCTGACCTTTAGAGAAGGAAACTTGAACGCGTTAAAATATCCCAGCCACAGTTGCCTGATCACAATCACTTTGTCCTTTGGGTTTGTATACTGAGTCATATTTAACCAGAGAGCCAATAGGTTGGACAGAAACTATTGATTATTGTTTGGAAAAGGGAAAACCTCTGTGAGAAAGGATGAAGGCGCCTCACCCATCCTCTGACTTGACGGAGAACAGTTGCTTAGGTGCAGAGGGCAGCACACTGGCCCTGCCATCACGTGGGCAGTCGCCCAGTGAGGCTGGTGGAGAGGAGTAGCTGTGAATTCCTTCCCGACTCCTACCAGACATGTACGTGCAAGGAAGAGATGACCCAAAGGTAATGACTTGTTTAGAAATTCATAGACTCCACTGGGCCCTTTTTCAGTAGTTGCCTCAGACCAAAGATTTCAGGAGCCCTGGCTAATTCTTATGTCTGGAGTTAAGTGAGGTAGGGGTGCCCAGGAGGTTCTTGATGCAGCAGCAGCCACAGGGCGGCGGGTCTCGGGCCTCAAGCCCGAGCTGGCTCCTCATCTGTTACAGACCCGCTCAACCTCAGGACCACAGCGGCGCCGTTCCAGCAGGTGCTACCAGCTGCCCAGGCACAGTCCTCAGCACCACAAGAGCCGGAGAATGTTTACACAGGATGCTGTGTGTGTGTGTCACACCTCGAGCGCACATGCCACTGAATTCTCCTGTCTAGAGACTGTCCTGTTAAAGACCTTTCAGGTGGACACCCAAGGCACAGGAACACGTGTTCCCAAGTGCAGGGCTTCTTGTCACTTGGTTTCTGCAAATGGTGTGGACCCTTAGCTCAACATCTAACTTTTGGGGGGGTGGGGTCTCTCATCAGGATAATGAGAAGAGCAATTATCATCATACTGCCCTAAATTCACTTTTTAATATTGCTTTCTGAATCACGCTCTGCTTTGTTCTCTCATTGTTCCCCCTTCCGCCAACCCTTAGCGACAGGTAGAGGCAGATGAAGTTCATCCTTATTTTATAAAAAACCTAAAAGAGGCTGAAGGAAAAAACTTCACATAACTAAAACTCTAGTGTTAAATTCTCAGTTTCATGTCCTTTTCATAGGTCCTGATGACTTTTTTTTGAAGCCCCAGATGCTGGTTCCTAGAAATATTGTAATAACCAGAGTTACCATTTCTGAGCCTGCAACCAGGCATTTTATATACATCGTTTCTTTTCATCTGCCCCATTGTTTGAGTGGTGGTGCTGTCTGTGTTGAAATGGAGATCCAGAGACATTGTTAATGCAGGGATGTCAGGTCTCAGACCCAGGTCTTTCTAACTCTAAAATGTTGCCCTTCACTCTTCCACTGCCTGGCTCCTGTCTCTGACAAGTTGATTCTGGAACATTGCGTCGATCAGTAGCCAGATCTCACCTTCAGCCCAACCTGAGACAGAGCTAAGCTGCCCCCTGAGAAAATAGTAGCTTTGGAAAGATGCAGACCGATGAAAGGAGATTCCCTTTGAGAACCGGTCTGTTTAATGGTGATTTTATATACACTAGAAAGAACTCGTGCACCTGTGTTTTCAAGAGGTCCCTTCTGCCTTGCTTCCTACATCTTACTGCACCTTTCTGTTTTCCTTAAGAATGGCAGTTTTAACATTGCTCTTAATTAGATGAACTAAGAATGTTCTCTGATGTGGTCACCCCTCCCGTCCCCCCCGCCCCCCCATCGCCCTCAGTTCCCCACTGCCGTGAGAGTGCTGTGGTTTCTGTGGTAGCAGGGCTGCCGGGGGAGCTCGGCGTTCGCTGGTTTGTCTGGTCAGAGGGAAGTTTGGGCAGTGCTTCCTGGTGCGCTGGGCTCTGCATGGGGCTCTCCAGGGGGTTAAGTGAAAGCGACGCAGTGAGACACGTTAGAGGCTGTGAGGTGAGCACAGCGAAGCTTCAGAAAAGTTCACATGCGCCCTGTGATTTCCTGACCAGTCCTTGGCCCTCACCTCGGGTAAGAGGGTCCCGCCCTCCCCTGTGCGTCCCCGGGCTCTCAGGTACATTCCCAGTCTGACCGTTTCCTTTCTTCCCTGCGGTTCACTTGCTTCAGGCCATAGGAGGGACTTGGTTTCCCCCTGGATTTTGTTATTCTTGGTAACAGACTGTTTCTCCTCCCATTCTCTTTTCTCCCCTCTCTCTCCCCCACCCAGAGAGTTTTCAACGTCCTTTACCCCATGCCTGCTGACCAGCGGAGACATGTCAGCATCAATTCTGCCCGGTGGCTGCCCGAGCCAGGGCTCGGCCTGGCCTACGGCACCAACAAAGGAGACCTGGTGATCTGCCGACCGGAGTGAGTGGCTCGCGGGGGCTGGGGGGAGGGTGTGCAGGGGGCGTCTGGGCGGAGGACTGGAGTCAGCAGCATTCACCTGTGGGTCTGGCTGGTGAGGTGGGGTCTTCCAGAGGGGAAATCCGAGCCTTGCTAGAGCCTGCCTCATTCTTGGCATCACTCCTTAAAGGGTCCTTTCTGCCTCGGGAACGGGAACTCTCCATTCTGGAAATATTCAGAAGATTGGTGTAGGTACCAAGTGCTCTTAAATCTAAGGCAGTATTGTTTTTTTTCTGTTTTCCCTTGTTCTCTGGTTTCCTAGTGATAGTCAAGTTTCCCTGCAGGCAGAAGCATAGATATCAATGATTCTTTTCTGAACCCTTTTTGAAAAATTCAGCAGGTGGTCTTGGGCTTGTGTAAATGCCTTAGACCCTAACTTAAGAAATAAAACCAAGAGAATAGCGTTAAAGCCCTAATTTGTCAAGCCACTGATCTCTGACAGCCTGGCTCTATCTGTGTCCTGCCTGTTTTCCTTTCTGCTTGGGCCTCCATCTCGTAACAATGAAGGCAGATTGAAAAGCTCAGTCTAAAATGAAAATGATAGTTCACTGGTCTTGATAGAAGGAGAGGGTGGGGGAGGCGGCGGGGAACCAGGGTGTTGCTGCCTTGCGTCCTTAGGTCACCTCCTTCCCCCTCCTCTGTTTCCTGGGGCAGAGAGGTCCATTCAGGCACCCTGTCACTCAGGACCCTGGGAGTCCTGCAGGTCTGTCATCGGTTTCTGGAGCCAGCCAGGTGGGGAGACGCGAACTGTGTGCGTCAGTGTAGACCAGGCCGAGGGCTGCGTGGGCCACCTCAGGGATCCAGCCGATTAAGAGCCACGTCTGCCTCCAGGCCCTCCCCACTCGGCGCAGAGTCTTGTCCAAGGGGAGCCTGCAGAGCGCAGAGCAGGCACAGCCTGGCTGGTCTGCTAGGGTCTCTGACTGTTGGGCGTGTCCACGTTGCCTTTCGATTGGGCCCTTGGTGATTTTTCCTAAAATGTGTGTTTGGGTCATTTCTGTTGGTCCAGGAAGGGACAGGTGGCTGAGCCCTGGTCAGCCGAGCTAGGTCAGTGGCCCAGGAGAAAGAACATCTGCTTCTGGTGACAGCTCTTTGATCCCACCTAGAATTTTCAGAGCCCCTTCCACAGGGAGGCGGCCATCTCAGCCCAACCTAGTCAGGCCGCTCCAGGTGCCGCAGGCTTCTTGGTTCAGCTGGCCACACTCTCCTGGACTCTGTGACTACAGAGCCGGCCCTTTCACGAGCTCCTGGTGCCTTTCCAGAACACAGCCTGCCTCTTCACGACGGTGCCGCTGTTAATCCAGGCGCTGGGTCTGTCCGTTTCTGCCCTCCCCCAGCCTGTCCGTAGTCCTGGGTCTGTCCGCCCTGAAGGATTTTATCCTATGTGCTGCCTTTCCCCAAAGCACAGGGCGCTGGCTGCCTAACTCCTCCTCCTCTCTTAGTCATTCACGAGAGGGCTCTCACAGGCACCTTTCCCGAAACTGGGCACACGTTCCGGGCTGTGGTCTCGCTCTCACCGGCCCTGTAGTCACAGGCCTCCTTTCCCTCTTCCTGCAGGGCGTCCTTTCTCAGCACTCTTGTCTTGTCTCTGGCTCCAGCTGCTCACCTTGTCCCACCCAGGCTCCCAGCCCCCTCTCTCCCAACAGTGGTCTGCTCTGAGCAGAGGCAGGATCTCTACTCCCAGTTTGTCGTGGCCCCACAGAGGCTTTTACATCTGAAACCCCAGCCTACACACTCGGTGTGAGTCACAGACTCCTCAGCCAGACATGAAGCTGGCTTTGGCCTCTCTTTCTCCCCATATGTCGTCTTCAGCATCCAGCGTCTCTGCGAGCAGGAGCCATCTTGGGCTGCCTGGGGAGCTCTCTTGTTGTTTTTCTTTAGTCGCTCCGTCGGGCCTGACTCTGCAACCCCATGGACTGTAGCCCGCCAGGCTCCTTCGTCCACAGGATTCTCTCAGCAAGAATACTGGAGTGGGTCTCCATTTTCTCCTCCAGGAGATCTTCCCAACTTGGGTTGAACCCGTGTCTCCTGCATGGCAGGCGGATTCTTCACTACCGAGCCACTAAGGAAGCGTGGGGGGCTCTCTTCCCCCAGCAGGTCAGGTCTCCTCCGTGACAGGAGAGCGGTCATGTTTGACACAGCGAGCCGCGCCCCGTCACAGACCCGGCCCTGGTGGGCTCCGGGCGAGCTGGGCCTGCCTTTCTGGTGGTGGTCTGTGCTCCTGATGTCTTGGGTCATGTGGGTCAAAGCCCCATACCTTAGGGCCGATATTTCAGGGTAAATTAAGATGGGCGAGACTTTGTCTCAGGTTGTCCAAAGGCTCTCCAGGTCTCCGTCACCTTCATTTCTGTACTTTAGGCAAGAAGTACCGTGAACAATATTCAGGTAAGGAAGTTAAGACCCACCTCAGGTCTCCTGGTGAATCAGTGACAGAATGAATTTTCCTAAGTTTGCCATCCAGAACTCTTTCCTGTAGCTGATTCTTAACCTTTTTTTCAGTCAAAAACCACTTTAGAATTCCAACAAAAGCAACATACTCTCTTCCACAGAAAAATATACCACTTGCAATTCTGTAACTCTCTTAAGACCTCAGGTGAAGAAAGCACCTCTAGATCACCTTGAGGCATTTAAGTGGGTCAGGTGACTGAGGCAGTGGGAAATGAGCGAGGATAAGTGAGACCATGGACTTCTTTTTTTTTTTAATATTTTGTTTATTTATTTGGCATCACCAGCCCTTCGTTGTGGCATGCGAGATCTTTAGTTGTGGTATGTGGGATCTAGTCCCTGACCAGGGATCAAACCCCAGCCCCCTGCATTGGGAGCAGGAGTCTTAGCCAGTGGGCCACCAGGAAATGTACATCTTTTGAACACACTCTGAGTGGTCTCCAGCCCAGGATGAGGAGAACAAATATGAAAGTAGAAGCTCGGCATTGTCGCCTGCTGCCTGGCCCCGCGTGACACAGCTCCCTTGTACCCCCGTTCCCAAGGGCACAGCCAGCCAGCTGGGCCAAGATGACCGCCCTCCCTCCGAAACAGGTGGTTGTCTGCCTTTGTCTCAGGCTCAGGCAGCTGCACCACATCATGTGCTTTCAATCCTGTTCTTGGTTTCCCTTCCACTGTCTTATCCTTGACACGCTCTCCGAGCACAAAGACAGAGGTAACAAGCTTCTTGGGCATCTCTTGATGGGTTTTAAAAACCCGCTTGACAGTAGGCGAACAAAGCCTCAGGTAACACTCCGTCTCTCCACGCGCAGCAATTCCTGGGACAGGTGAGGAGACGAGCCACTGTCCCTTCAGCCTATACACAGAGCCCTTTCAGTGGCCGATAGCCTGGCTGCCTGCCCCCCTCCTCCCCTTCCTAGCAGTGAGGTGCTCCTTTCTCCTTTGCTTCACCCCCCGCTTCTCCTGTGCCTCTAGCTGACCACCAGCCCAGCCGACACCCCCACCAATAACCGCAGTGGGCGTGGAGTGCCAGATAGGCGTAAGGCGCTGCTTGCTCATTTCCGGCTTCATAAGTCAGCCCTACAAATGGGGGGTGGGGAGGTGCATCTGGGAAGACCACGGGGTGTCAGAGTCCGCTCAGAAGGCAGAATTCAGAGACTCATGTCAGGAGAAAAGGAGGTCGGGGGGAATCAACTGGTGTTCCAGCCATTGTTACTCAGCGCTTCCACTGCTGAGGGCCCGGGTTCAGATCCTGCTCAGGGAACTGACATCCCACAGGCTGCATGGCACGACTGCGCCCCACTCCCCCCCCCCACAGAAAGACCTTCTTTCCAAGGAGAAAGCTGTGTGGAGCTTTCCAGGCCTCCACTGATAGATGAAAGAATGTCCTCAAAGGGAATATACCCTAGAAGTTGGGAGGTTCGGAGCCAGAGTCCTGTGTGAGAGCAGCTTGAGGGGTCGTTGGGCCAGGCCCAGAAGCACCGCTCACAGAGACTTGCAGGACGCAAGTCTGTTGAAACAGCCGACCCGACTGGCCTTCCCATGCCTCTCCATCCCTCTTTGTCCAGCTTCCAGGAAGGACCCAGAGCAGACAGTGGTGACTCACTCATCGTCCCTAAGGACCAAGGAGAAAGGAGAAGGTTGGCACCGTTCTTCAGCTTAGAGGTGGAAAAAAGTGACATTGAGCATTGACCAGGGTTTCCTTGGCCAGAGAGGGTTATCTTCAACTCTGTTCCCTGGTCCAGTGCCTGGCCTTTCAGCTACATGCACAAGCTTGTCTTAGTCAAGCTGGTCTGACCCCAGAAGGTAGAACAAAGCGTGGCTCGCACTGGACCTCTTGGTGAGGAGCAGAGGGGATTGGGGTTGGGGGAAGAAGGGAGCCGCACGTTGATAGTCCCCATGGCCCCTGGTCTGTTTGGCAGTTGACATCCTCAGTAAACAGCCAGAGTTTGCAGCTCGGGGCTGAGGACGCAGGCTGCCGGGCGGGAAGTGTCTGAGGGGCTCTGGCTCGGCGTCCTGCTGGCAGTCGCCGCTCAGGGAGTGCCTTCAGGGGGCCTTTCCCCCGAGACAGGGAGGAAGGGGCCTGGTCACCGCGGACGTGGTTCGGTGTGGGCTCCGTGTGAGCAGTTTGTCTTCACTCACCAGCCCAGGGTAGCAGGTGGTGCAGAGGAATTAGAGAGGAAGGACTTGGCCGGGACCCATATGGTAGCGCCACTTGTCAATAAATCCTGACAAGTTTGTAAATCAGGCTCCCCGGCAGCTGGCTTCACATGGTGCCTCACACAGCCCAGATCTGCTCATCAGAAGCTGTGGTGGTGGTTTCGTTTTACGGGGGCCTCTGCTTGTGACTTCTGGCCTTGCCTCTTCCCTCAGGTCAGGTCGTCTCTCTCACCTTTGCCCTCCACCGCCCTGTAGTTCTCAGACACACACAAAAGTGGCTGAGTATCTGGTGACTCAACTCCCTGCAGCCTCGAGGAGAAACAGCCGCTGACTGAGGCCCGGGAGACGTGGCCCGCCGCGCCCTGTGTGTCTGGGGGAGTGGCCGGGTTCGGGTTGAGGTGTCCGGGTTCCAGGTGCTGGCCGCAGTCCTGGCCTCCGGGCTGCTTCGAGAGGCAACTGCGGGTGTCACCGTTGTTTTCGTCTTAGTCACTCGGTCGTGTCCGACTCTGCGACCCCATGGACTGTCGCCCACCAGACTCCTCTGTCCGTGGGATTCTCCAGGCAAGACTACTGGAGTGGGTTGCCATTTCCTTCTCCAGGGGATCTTCCCGACCCAAGGATTGAACCTTCGTCTCCTGCATTAGCAGGCGGGTTCTTTACCACGGAGCCACCAGGGAAGCCCCAGGTGTCATTACCCTGAATGTTCTTCACTGATGTTCTTTTAGAAGGCACGTCTGAAGATCACACCAGACCTGCCCTCTTAGTGGAGCTGGGGGCCAGGGGGGTGGGGTGGGGTGAGATTAGTCCAGAGCAGAGAGAGGATGAGCCCTTTTGTGGCTGCGGCTCTTTCCCAGAGGTGACGCCTCGTTCCCAGAACCTTAGTGACCCTCTGGTGACGGGTTTGGGGCCTGCTTCCTCTCGCCTGAGGTGGCATGGCCTCCTGACACGCAGTTGCTCACTATGCAGGCCCATCAGGTCCCTGTTGTATCTAATCCTCACATTTAGGAAGGACTAACCCTACATCATCACCGCCCGCCCGCCCCCCCCCCCCCACCTCATCTTTTCTTGGCTGATTCTCATGACCCTCTGATTTCCGTTTGTTTGCTCTTTATTGAAGAAGTTGTGTTGTTACCGTCCAGGATGGTGACCTAAGCCTCTGGGCTCTCATTGGAGCTTTTCTTAGTTCGAGCTGCCATAACAGAATACCATAGACAGGGAGACTTAATCACCAGAAATTTATTTCCTCCTGTTCTGGAAGCTGGGAGTCTGAGATCAGGTTCCAGCACAGTTGAACTCTGGTGAGGACTCCTTTCCTGGCTGGTCGACGACCCCCTTCTCTCATCTCGCTGTGTCCTCACGTGATGGAGAAAGAGAGTAAGATCTTTCTTTCTCTGTCCTTTATAAGGCCAGAGTCCTTTTGGATTAAGGTCCCAGTCTTATGACCTCATTTATTAACCTTAATTACCTTTTAAAGACCCTCTCTCTCAGGGGTGGGGTTTCAACATGTGAATTTGAGGGAATTCCATCTGCAGCAGAGCTTTTCAAGCCCGTTGTGTGTGCCCTGACCCTCTGAGGAGCAGAGCTGGCCATTTTGTCTCTTACAGTCTCTTCACGGACACCAGAGTGCTAATCATAGAGCTCAAAGACACCTCTTTCCCAACTCTTTACCTTCTCATTTCCTCACCACCAGCAGCACCCCACCCTGAGCCCTGTGACGGGTGTAGGTAGCATCTTTTCCAGTGGGGAATCTTTAAAATTAAAGGCGTCTTGTGTCTTGGCACACACCGCTGGCAGCCAGGCTTGCTGCCTGAGGAGGCACTTCAGTCTAGAAAAATAAGAGGCCCCCGCTTCCCTCCTAGCAGTTGTGCCTGGGTGAGAGTGTGATAAAGTACCCGACACTCCACTGCAGGGAAAGAAGGAGCCAGGGCCAGGCTGGCAGCTGGGAGAACTTGATGGACTTGAAGGAGAGAAACTCCTTTCTCTGCCATCAGCCGCCCAGCCTTTCGCCGCTGGAATTCCTCTCCTCACCCCATCCCCTGGAGAGGCTTGTGAGCCCTCCCAGGTCATCTTCAGCTCTCCCTGTTGCTTTTCCAGCCTCTACCTGGCAAAGGAGGCTCTCAGGCCAGAATAGAAAGAGATGTGAGCCTCTCTGGCTCAGCGGGAGCTTTTTCCTGTTAGCCTTCTGAGCTGCAGGCAAAATAAAAACGTCAGGGTGCCCTCATCTGCCTTTCTCCTGGCCCCATGGCTGTAGGGGAGGCCCAGTGGTGAGAGCCTGCACTCACGTCCCAAGCACTGAGCACACCCTTCAGGCAGGCAGGCTGTGGCACTTGGCATCTCCAGGGCCTTCTTAGCCACCATCTTGTATGGCTGAAGAATATGCGGACCTCGCTGCCTATGATGGGCGTGGCTATCTTTTTGCTTCTCTCAGCCCCCTAGAGGAGCCAGTCAGGCTTTGGGCAATGGAAGAGGCTAAAGCCGCCACTCCAGGCGTCGGGGCTGCTGGAGATACATCGGGCTGCTTGGCACTGAGCATCCTCATGGAGCGTCTGTCTCTTCACAGCCTCAGCCCAGTCCCAGGAGAGAGGAAGGAAGGAAAAGGAGCAAGGCGTTCTGGCCATTCTCTCATGTCTTCCACTCTGTCTCCTTCCCAACTGATTTCCAGGGCCTCGAACTCTGGTGTTGAGTACTACTGGGACCAGCTGAATGAGACGGTCTTCACTGTTCACTCCAGCAGCCGAAGCAGCGAGAGGCCTGGGTGAGTTTGTGAAGGAGGCAGCTGGCCATCCCTCCTGCTTCAGTGGGTCCGGAGCGGTGTCCTCACGCCTGGCTCCGTGGGTGTCCCTTCTCAACGAGAGCAGCTCCCTCTGCTCGGCTTCACACTTTGAGCTTTTGTACGTGGTTCCGTTCAAGAAAAGCGTTTCATGGCTAAGAAAAAGACCAAAAGCTCTGCCCTCCAAGTCTCGATTGAAGACCAGCTAGGACCCCATCCAGCCCCCCAGTCCTGGCCGCAATGTCCGGGGAAGCCGCAGTGAAAAGAGGGCTCTGGAGAGGGATGCCCTCCCTAGGAAATTGCTCGTGGGCAGCCTCCCACGTGACCCAGGCCTCGGGGACCAAGCTGCCCAGAGCTGCAGCCCAGGGACAAACCCTCCCCAGGGGCCACTTAGTAGGAACCTGGTGCTGATCCTCCCATCATTTAATTCATTAATGGAGACGGAAACATTCTGAGAAAACAAAGCGCTGGGTCAGTGGTAAAGCCAAAGCAGTCACTGCTTCCTCGGGGGAGTCCCGGGCACGGTCCCCAGAAACAGTCACTGCTTCCTCGAGGAAGTCCCGGGCACGGTCCCCAGAAACAGCTGCAGACAGGACAGTTGGTGCCCGCCCTGAACACCGCGGGCCCGCTCCGCTGCCAGCTCCTGCCACCCTGAGGGTCTGCGCCCAGGACGTGCCCGGGGGGGGGGGTGCTTTGGGCCTGGGCCTCACTCTGGGCAGCTGATGCTCCCCGCTTCTTAGGAGGACCCCCAAACAGCCCCAGTAGGAGTCCTGTGGAGTCCCATGGAGTGGAAGTTCCGAGAATTTAAACTGGAGTCTTGTCAGCATGTAGCTGGAGGGAGGAAAAGCTGAAGCGAGGGCCACTTGTGCTGCTCACCCTTGGCCCCATGGCTTCCAGCCACTCAGCTGCTGGCTGCCTGAGTCCTGAGTGTCTTTTAAGATCAGCCATCTCTGCCTCCCCAGAAAGGCCCTCATTGTTTGGGTGACTGGACCAGCCGTCTTTGCAAAAGATGGATGGTTCCGCCACTTCCTTTTCACCGTCCCAGGACGTGGACTGATCTGGAGGAGAAGGACACGTACAAGTTAACTGGCCGCGAGAGGCCGCTGTGGGAGTGGGCCTCAGCCTGCCGGCCCTGGTTCAGCCTGCGCCATGAGTTCGGGCGCAGAGCAGGCAGGGCTCTGTGGGGCCGCTGTTCCCAGCCCTGCCTGACTCCTGTCTGCCTGTCTGTCCCTAGCACCAGCAGAGCCACGTGGAGAACAGACAGAGACATGGGCCTGATGAATGCCATCGGCCTGCAGCCCCGGAACCCCACCACGTCGGTGACGTCTCAGGGCACCCAGACTCTGGCCCTACAGCTGCAGAATGCGGAGACCCAGACGGAGCGGGAGATACAGGAGCCGGGGACGGCAGCTTCGGGTCCTGGTGAAGGTAGGAGCCGTGTAACGCTAGAGGGGAAATAAGCCAGCGGGGAAGGGAGGTTGGTGGTTAGGACCATTCTTGCCTCCCCTGAGGCTCCTGCCCCCTTTGCAGACAGGTGGTGCTGGGACTGCGACACAGCCGCCAGGGCGGGCACCCCTCCCACGGCGACAGCGCTCAGCGCCTCCTTGGACAGGAATGTCACTTCCCTGATATGGACCACCTGTTACAGCCTCCCGGCTACTCTTAGAGCTTGGCCCAGCACCCAGCAGGGACCCTGACCTCCTTATCCTCTAAAACTTGCAGGGCTCAGAGAGTCACAGAAAAGGCAAGAGGGACGCCCTGCTGCAAACTCAAATGCCAGAGAGCTGCCAGGGCCACCACCACCACCCCCTGCCCCCACCTGGGGTAGCTGTCTTCTCTCTCCAGCCTGGCCGGTCGGGAGGCCCTTACACACATGCGTCTTTCATGGCCATTGGGGCTGCAGCCTGGCTCACGATCAGCCCCTTTCTCTCAACTGTGGCAGGCGTGGCTCAGCCGTGGCTCCATGCTGGCCTCACGCTGCTGGGAACCAATTAGCACCTCCCTGCGTAGCGCTCAGGCCCCCTTTGGAGTGTGTCGGCAGCTATGTTAAATAGGCTGTTCACACCCAGTCGGTCTCCTTGCCCCCCACCCTGGCCCCTGGCTGCTCGCAGCTCCATACACAGCAGCCTCCAGACAGCCCTGTCATCTCTATGTCTGTGGTAAGCCACCTGCTCAGGAGAGACCAGAAGACAGGTATGCTTTGGGCAGAGGAGCAGATCTGCGTGTGTCCCCTCAGGGCACAGCTTCTGTGCTGCAGCCTCGCCCCGTGCACTGTCCCATGGCTGCCACGAGCTGCCACGTCTTACAGCCACGTCCCTTTCCGTCTGTGGCCCGGGATGGAAACCCCCAGTGTGGACGGAGCTGCCAGAGCAGCCCTAGCCTCACCAAGGAGGAGAGTGCGCTATGGTTGTGATAAAAAAAAAATAAAAAAAAAAAAAAGGAGGAGAGTGCGCCAGCACCTCCCGCCAGCCCCGGGCGGATCCTGGTCTGGGCGGCCCTTCTGCTGTGTTCGCGTGGCCTCTTCCTGTCCTCTGTGCATCAGCTGCTGCGGCTAGAGACAGGCCTTGGTGCTTCCCCGAGGAGCTGAAGTCTAGAGCAAGAGGCGGGCCCCCAGCGGGTAGTGACTTCTCGTGATTAGGACCTCGGGGCTGCAGAGGAGGGGGAGCCGCACCCCGGCTGTGGGGCTCGGGGAGGACTCCTGGAAGAGGCGACCCTGAGCCGCACCTTCCAGGATGAGGCGGAAAATGCCAGGCAAAGTGGGGTGCGGAGGAGGACAGGCACTGCTCGCAGAGGGGACGGCACCTGCAAGGGCGCCATGCTCAAAACCATTACAGTCTGCACCAAGGACCTCTGGGGGGCTTTTGTTGGTGGCCGGTCAGCGCTTGTTGAGAACTGAGGCTGGACGCGCGGGGAGGGCAGGTTACAGGGAGCTGGTTCTGGAGGTAGGCCTCCGCCCTGAAGGTCAAGTACAGGGGGGCTGCCCACCTGAGAAGAAGGGCATCCTCCCGTGTTTTCATCTGCCAAAGATGCCCTGGTTATTTCTTGACTTGCATCAGCTTGTTTCTGACCTCCAGTCAATTATGACTGTAAGTGCCTTTCTTCGTGGTTGGGGGTGGGGAGGATGGGCTGGCAGGAGGCAGGAGAGTCTTTTTTCCAGTTTCAGAAGCCAGAACTTCATTCTCTCCCAGTCTCCTCCCCGCAAAGCAGAGGGGTTGGTGGAGGACAAGCCCTTCAGAGGCCAGAGGCACTTTTCAGCAGGGGACAGTCAGGAGGGGAGCCATGGCCGAGTAGCTCAGATAGCTCACTGCATCTCTCTGTGGCCTGACGACCTTTGCCTGGAGCTTTGGACCTCTGACTTTGAAAGGGACAACGTCATAGTGCCTTGCAGAAAGCCCGTGCCTAGAAAGAAGGGGAGCAGATGCATGGGGCATTGACCCAACGAGCCAGCCTCTTCTCTCCTGGGTCCAGGAGCCTAGTCCTGGGGTGCTTCGCCCTTGACCGCCATCCACTGCTGCCGCTCTGGTAGGGGAAGCTGGAGTCGGAGTCTCCTTGGGCTCAGACTTCCTCCGTAGTCTGCTTTCCCCATCTAGCAGGCAGGCACGGCAGCTTTCTCTCTCTCTCTCACTCGCACACACGTTTCTCCTCCTCTCCCCCCAACTCCCACCCCCAGTCAGCAAAGTAGTGGCCACATCTGCAGAAGCAGTGGAAGAGACTGCTCATCACGCTGGTGAACCCCTCCCCTGGGCTCAGCTAGGAAGCGGGCCCCGTGGGAGTACCCCTGTGCACCCCTCCACGCGCCAGCAGCCCAGGCACCTTAGGGTGGGCCGCCGACTGCACGGCAGCAGTTGCCGTCCAGTGGCCCGTCTCTGAGCCCTGTCCCACTGGCTCGCACTGAGGGGTTCTCAGCTACTCCTCATGTTCATGTTGGATAGGAATTTTATTAAAATCCATTCAGTTCTGTCTAGGACTTCCTGGAGGAGCCCTCCATGGGGGGAGTTGGCAGGTGTTGACTTTTTTGCTGGTCCAGCTTTAAAGCTTCCCTGCCCTGTCACTCCAAAAGCGAGGGGCGGCATCCCCGGGCTCTGCTCTAGCATTGACACCATGCCTGCCTGGCTTGCAGTGGACCCTCCGCAAATGTGAAATGAGTGAACTGACTCAAGGCAGGGCCCTGCCCCCAGCTTGGCTGTGCTGCACTATTCAGGAGCCCACGGCTCTGCCTCTGACTACTGGGAAAGGTTGCCTGGACCTTTCTGTTGTCTGGGGAAGACAATAGTACGGCTGCAGGAACCTGGGCCGTGGACCAGGGAAAAGCAACCGTGAGGGGGAGGGGCAGGGTGCCCCTGAGATCAGGACAGGCAGCTCCTCTCCTGACGCAGCCTGGCCCCCCTCATCCGGGCGGGGAAATCCCAAAACTGGCCATCATGGGAAGTTCCTGATGCCACCCTGGCCTCTGCATCCAGGATGTACCCTGCCAAGGAAATGATCTCGTGTCAACACGAAATCAGTCTCCCATTTTTCAAAGACAAAAAGAAATGCTTTTGCTGCAGGGAAGGCGACAGCAAACTTACCTCCTGTGGCCGCCCCTGCTCCTGGAGCTTAGCTTGGATCCCTGACCACAGCTGCCACTCCCCGCGGGCCCCAGGGTGTTCCCCTCTGGAGGAATGTGCTGGCGGCCCACCTTGGCTCTTAGCCTTGGCTTAGAGCTCCCCAGCTCCCAGCTTTGGCTGAAGCTCCCCATACCCAGCCCTGAGGAAACCGTTAGTGTGTATGTTTTAAACACTTCTGTCCAATCTTTATTGAGTGCTTTAGTACTAGTGTTGTATTAGGCGCCAGGAATCCAGAGGGAATCAGATTGAGAGATGAAGCCACGTCTCTTCCCTCACACATTAAGTTCAAAAAGGAGACGGACATGGAAGTGCACCCCCAGAGCAGAGGGTAACACATGACCAGATTTTGGAGGTCCCCTGAAGGCCGGAGAAGGAAATGGTAACCCACTCCAGTATTCTTGCCTGGGAAGTCCCATGGATAGAGGAGCCTGGTGGGCTACAGTCCATGGGCTCACAAAGAGTCAGACACGACTGAGCGACTTCACTTTGACTGAAGGCTGGAATGCCTGTAGGCGGTCTGGGAGCCCTTGAGTCACCCACACACTTATTTGACAGGTAGACTGCAAGTGCAAGCCCAAAGGGGATCAAAACGTAGTCTGAGGCCATCAGGGACCTGGAGCCAAGAAGGGAGAGACTCTGCCGTGGAGAGGTGCGGGCCCTGCAGGGCTCAGAGAAGAGGCAGTGATGCCCAGCAGGGGCCGGGCCGGGGTGGGACGGGGGCAGGGGCGGGCACTGGCCTGAGAACAAGTGGCCTTGGGCCACGGGGCAGTGTGTGTAGGCAGTCTGTGGGGGTGGGAAGAGGGGTGGTCAGGGAAACAGCTCGGACCCGACCGGAGGCCCGTGAGCATCACAGTGAGCATCCTCACCGCTTTGAGGATTCTCGGGATTGCTGGGTTTTGAAGAGTATGGACTCAACCAGAACCCAGTGGCTCCGAGCGGAATTAGGACGGCAGCAGTAGCAGCGCGGAGGCGGGGCGGAGGGGGAGAGACGCCCACAGACCCGTTCGGACAGACAGCTGCAGTGACAGACGGCCGGGACCGCAGGTACTGGTGCAGCGGGAACGGACAGAAGGGCCCGGAGTCAGGCGCCCAGCGCTATGCTGGGGCCTGACTAACAGCTCCCTGAGGGCCCCCAGCAGCCCTGCCCGGCCCCCAGAATGAGCTTTGGGAGAAGAGGAGAGTGTTCGCCGAGCAGGGTGCCTGGCCAGGGAGCACCGGTGCCAGCAGGCCAGGGGCCAGCCCGCTGCTCACCCCGGGCCAGGCTGGGGAGCCCCCGACGCATGGGGTGCTTGGAAAACCGTGGGGGTGGCAGTGAGCGCAAGGGTCCCCCGGGGCCTCCCCAGGCAGCCCTTTTGGCTCACAGGGTAGACACTCTGCTGGCAGCGAGGCCCTGGGTTTCCCGTTCCTCTCACCCCTCACCCGCTGCTGGCGGCTTTTCCCCTGAGAGGAGTGCTCAGAGCCCTTCAGGTCCTCTCTCCCCTGCCCTTGGAGTTGGCCTGAGCTGCCTAAGGGGAAAGTGCCTAAAGCAGCTGTCTTGAGGGGTTGGAGGTGGGAGGGTAGAATTTATCAGAAAATCTGGAGAAAAGCAAGCTGGACATCAGCAAAAGCCTTGGTGGAGTCCCTGCTCAGTGCTGGGGAATGCTGTCTCCCCGAAGATGGGCCGCCAGCACACGCCGCCATGCACCCGTCAGGACGGAGGGGCCTTCCGGGACGTTGGCACAGCTGGGTTGCCCAGACGGTGCCTGGATGCCCAGCTCTGACCAGGCAAGCAGGGGGACAAGGCGCTGGATGGTGCAGCAGCAGAGAAAGTCTTGCAAAGATAGCAACTGACGACAAATGCTGCCAAAAGTTCAAAACTCACTATCGAAGCCGCCCAAACTGCAAAGTCCCCAAGTGGCCAACAAACAGGCAAAGGAAACAAACCTGTCCATAGTTTGGTGGAGCAGCCCTGGCCGCCTGGGAGCCTTGATCATAGCTGCCCACAGTCTTAGACCACTTAACCTGCCAGTGAGGGCTGAGCACGAGCCAGAGTAAGGCCCCTCGGAGCGGGGCTCTTCCTGCAGAGACCAGGTTACAACAGCCACCACGGAGCACCTGCTGTGGACCAGATGCTTAACGGGCATCATCTCATTCCCTCCGCCTGGCACCGTGCAGGCTGGATGTTTTCATCCCTGTTTTGCAAGTCAGAAAACTGAGGAAATGTGGGTGGCAAGGGATTTATCCACGGTCACACAGCTAGTGAATGGGAGAACCAAGATCTGAGCCAGTGTCATCTGCCCCCTTCAAGAAGATGCTCAGGCTCTTGGGGAAAGAGCATGACCTTCCTTGTTCCTCCCTCAAGATGCAGACTGAAACGTCAGGCTGGGGCAGTTGGCTGCTTCCAGGGAAACATGAGGGTATCAGGCATCTGGCCCCGCGAGAACAGTACGTGGGGAATAACGTGGGAAAGTGGGACATTAAGAGGAGACAGAATGCCTTCGAAGGAACACTTGAAAATCGTCTTCCTTGTGTGCATTTAGAAAGTGACATAAACAGAAGAATAATGGAGAGAGAGAACACAGCTTTGAAAAGGTGCCAAGCAGAACGTTTGTCTTCTAGACGCACCCTGTACAGTGCCCTTGCTTTCCAAACACCAGACGTGGACCCTGTCCCAGGCCCAGGCCCAGGCTGTCCCTACTAGGCTGTGTGAGACGGGGAGGGGCAGACACCACCAGCTCTCTGGGCTGTCTCCGTGGGATGCGAGACCAGCCTGCCTCTGGTGTCCAAGGGGTTAAAGGCAGACTCCCAGGTTCCGGTCCAGGCCTCGCTCTTAACCAGCTGAGCAGTCTCAGCGCCCTAGGCTGAAGTGTGAATTAGGATTGTTTGGGGCATCTTATCTAGCTTCCAAGTCCCTGACTGATTTTTTTTTTTTCCCGGCTGCACCATGCGGCCTGTGGGATCTTAGTTCCCAGACCAGGGATCGAACCCGTACCCCGCCCCCCCTGCATTGGAAGCACAGAGTCTTAACCACTGGACCACCAGGGAAATTCACTTGATTGATTCTTGAGGGGTTGGCCACTGCGTTGCTTCTGCCCATAGCTAGAATCCGCCGGGTCCTCCTAGCTCTGGCCTGCCTGACTCAGAGGCCCAGGCCAACGGCTGATTCCCTCCCTTCTGCCTTGTACCTTCCAGGGGAGGGCTCGGACTACGGGGCCAGCGGGGAAGACGCGCTCAGCAGGATCCAGCGGCTGATGGCTGAAGGGGGCATGACGGCCGTGGTGCAGCGCGAGCAGAGCACCACCATGGCCTCCATGGGCGGCTTCGGCAACAACATCATCGTCAGCCACCGCATTCACCGCAGCTCCCAGACAGGCGCTGAGCCGGGGGCCGCGCGCACGCCCTCGCCGCAGCCCTCCACCTCTCGGGGAATGCTCCCAGAAGCCGGGCAGCTGGCAGAGCGAGGCTTGAGCCCCCGGACAGCCTCCTGGGAACGGCCCGCTACCCCTGGGCGGGAGCCCGCCCTGCCCTCCTCCTCCACGGCCTCTCCTCCCGCCCCCCTCCCCAGCACCGAGGGACCAACCCCGCAGCGCTGTGACCTGAGCAACAACCACCTCCTTCCTGACGGCGGGGGCAGTGGCAGGGGGGAGGCCGCGGGCCCCAGCGGGGAGCCACGGAACAGGTAGAGACAGGCGTGCCCTGGTGCCTCCCCTTGAACCGCTGAGCAGAAACCGGACCTCACAGCTGACTGGGAACCGAGCGCGCGGAAGAGCCGTGGGCTGCGTCAGGGAACAGGAGCGCGAGGGTGGGGGTCAGGAGGGCGTCCATCCGGGGCAGCAGGGAGTGAGGCGGTGCAAGGGGCCAGGTTTGCCTCCGGGGACTAGACTCTTCCAGGATCTGGGGCCCAGGGGTGTCACAGACTGCCGTGCTCCTTGCGAGTGGAGGAGGAAGTCGGTGTCCCTGCCACGCACCTCCCCCTCCTCCTAGAACCAAGGCTCAAGGGACTCAGCCCTGGGCAGAGAGCCCCCGGGAGGGTGAACAGTCTTCCAGATCTGGGCCCGACCGTCCTGGCCAGTGGCCAGTAGGGCAGCTTCTCCCTGTTCACCTGTCGTGCAGGCAGAGCCACCAGGAGCCCTAACGCAGGAGGAACGGTCTGGCCCCCAGAAACAACCTCCATCTCTGAGCCTTCCAGAGCTTCAGCCCCTTGATCATCTTCCCCCACAGAGACCACAGTCAGGGGTCAGGCCCGGCTCCCGGACTCCTGAGCACGGGGACTTCTGCACTAACAGTGGGGGCCAACCATGGAGTGGGGGGACAGCCTGCTTGCCCGAGACGGGATGGAGTCAAGGGACAGTGGGCAGGTCCTCACTCAGGAGTGGGGGGATGTAGGCTGGCCAGCCCCCAGGGCTTGTCCACCAAGCTCCTCCTTCCCCACCACCCCCAAGGCCCTCAGAGCAGCACCCCTGGGTGTCAAGTGTTAGCTGAGCCTAGGCCAAAGCCAGCCCAAGGCTGGGGGAGGGGTGAGACGCCGGGTCAGAATGTGAGGTCTTGGTCTGTGATTTAAGGTGTTGCATGTGGAATCTTGAACTGTACGTGTAGTTTCTAGTGGAGAAATCAAGGCTCTGATTATTTTGTTTTTAGTATGAAAAATGTGATTACTTTTCTGTTTGTAACTCATCATAGAAACATTGTGGTGGGAGGAGAGGGGATAGTCTGACTGCTAATGAGGGAAACACCAAAGATCTACATCATTAAAATGATGACATGCCCCTCACCGGTCTCCTCTGTTTGTTTCCACGGGGGATGAAGGGAGCGGGGAGCGGTGGGGGCAGGGGCCGTGGGGCTGGGCTGCCGCGGTTCTCCTGAGCAGTGCCTCTGGTGCTGCTGTCCTCGGCGGGGCGCCCCATGATGCCTCAGCAGAAGCCACTCAGGTAAGAGCTGCCACACCTGCTTCACGCTGCACCCGTGTCCCACCACTGCCTGCTTCTAGGAGCCTGCTAAGGTTTGGGGCATCCTTCATGGTAACAGGTGGGTAGGTAAGAATGCTGGGAGGTCACTCATCTTGGTTGCTTCCTACTCAGGATGATGGGCCTGGAGTGAAGAAATCACTGACGGGAAAGCTGGCTCCCCTGCAGTCCTGTAAAGCACGTGTCTGGGGTGGCCCACAGGGAGCAGGCCTTACCTACAGGTATCCCCCCAAGATGCCGTGCGCTGGGGGCTTGGGTTTCCCTTTGCTTTGTGTCAGGGCAGTGGCCCAGGGGTCTGCTGTGGTCCTGAGTCTTGGCCATTGAGTTTTAAGCCAGTTGGGGAAAGAAGGATACTTGCTCCCTCTCTCACGGGGGATGCAGAGGTCAGAGCCGCCTCCAGGGCTTTTCGCAGCAGCTACTTCCCGAGTAACCTTTGTGTTGGGCTCCGTCCCAGACACTGCGGGGCACACAGGAGTCTGCTCTGCCCCGGCAGCGATGGAACCGCAAGATTAAAGCAAGTAATATGAGACCATGTGAAGAGGTATATGGTGAGGAGCACTAGAATTTTAAGTATTATAGCACGCTCTGGACCAAGAGACACATCAACTAGCTGTGTGACCTTGGGCAGGCCACGTCCCTTTTCTCTTGCTTCATTTTTCCGGATAGGAGGTAGGGCTTATTCTCTGCAGCCTCCTAAAGTTACTTCCAGCTCTGAGAGCACTGGGGTGGTAGGAGGGGCCTCCTTGGAGAGGTGAGATTTGAGTTACACATTAAAGGATGGAAGGAGAATGGCGCCCCCTGCAGTGCCTGCCCTCCACCCAGCCCTCCCCTCCCTCTGGGGGAGGAAGAATTTCGTGGTCTCAGTGGGGACTCTGAATTTGTTGATGGTAAAACGTGTGCTGAGGATTCAGTGTTTATCATCTCAGACCTTTCCATAAACCCTCTGTGGTGGGTACACACAGCTCACTGGTGGAGCCAGGGTCTGAACCCAAATGGGACCCTGATGTGCTCTGTTACTTTGGGAAAAAGGGGTAGGAGGAGGCCTTGTGGATGAAGTGACCTAAATTCAGTCCTGCCTGGCCTTGCCTCTGTCCTTACTGGTCAAGCATGAACCCAGCCCCTACCTGTTGGAGACCCCTGTCAACACCTCCCATCCCCACACCATCCCCTTTCCTTAGAAAGCCCTTGTCTGCATGGGTAGAGCCTCCATGGGCCCCCTTGCTTATCATGATAAGGTTGCAGGGTCAGTGGGGCAGAACTCAGCAATCCCAACTGGATTCCCAGCAGTTCTGTGGACCCAAGATGGGCTTCCCTCGTGGCTCAGTTGGTAAAGAATCCGCCTGCAATGCAGGAGACCTGGGTTCAATCCCTGAGTTGGGAAGATCCCCTAGACAAGGGAAAGGCTAGCCACTCCAGTATTCTGGCCTGGAGAATTCCATGGACTATAGTCCAAAGGGTCGCCAAGAGTCGGACACAACTGAGCGACTTTCACTATCAAGATGCCTATGGACCCGGTTGGATCAAAGGTAGAGAGTAAAGACTAAACCAGGTCCCTTGGTTTCTGACTCTGCTCTCCACAGTTCACTGTGGGATCTGGGATTGGGGGATGCCCAAGGCCCTACCTACCCCACCATAGGCATTTTGGGAAAACGGGGTAGCTTTGCCCAACAGCTTCTGGAAGAATTCAAGGGAGTGGTTGGAGACTTTTCTAGTTTGTGCAGCCTCCAGTGGCCTTGTTTGTTTCCTCCTCTGACAGTTCATCCCAACCTGCATTTCTGTGCAAACACACACTTTCACCCTCCTAGAAGGACCACCCTCTCCCAGGACCTAGGAGGGATATGGAAAGGGGAAACCAGTGCAGACAGTTATCTATTCGTCACATGAACCAACCAGGCCAGTTTCCTCTTCTGTGAGATGAGGGCAAGAACAGCAGGGCCTTTTCCACCCTTTGGTTATGGGAATCATGGGAGACCAGATGGTTCAGGTAAAAGACGATGGCTTCTCACTCGTCCAGGCCGCCAGCTGCAGCCCTCAGGTTCACACAGAGGGCTCCACACGAAGAGCACCACGGGGCTGGCTCCTGCCTGAGTTCCCGCCCCTTTTCTGGCAGCTCCTGCTGCCTCCTCCGCTGCGGTACGCCCTCCACCTCCCCGCGCCCAGCACACACAGCCCCCCGCCCAACCCTTGGGGGAGGGTGGAGGTGGGGCGGGACTTGAATTGTTTTTCCAAGAAAAGAAACCATCCGTCTTAAGGTTTAATCGGATGTTCGCGCTCAGAGAGTTTGAGGTGCCAAGCCCCGGGGCCCGGGCGATTGGGGGGTGGGGGGACCTTGGCCGGCCGCAGTAAGGATGGTCTCGGGGGAGGCGGGAACGCTGCTGCCCGGAGGCCGAGCGGATCTGCCAAGGTCTGCGCCGAGGTGGCGCTCTCCGAGGTGCTGAAGCCTCCCAGCGCTCTTGCCTCGAGTGCCTCAGCCGGCCCTCCTGCTGGGGCAGGCAAGGCCCCGAGCCCCAGGGCTCTGGCCCGCGCGGTTCCCGGACACCTCAAGGAGACCAGCAGCTCTCTCCCTCGGGGGTCTCGCTCCGGGTTCCACCCCAGGTGACCTTGGGCACTCGGATTTCCCTCAAAGGCATCGGAGAGCTTGCCCTCCAGGCTGGATGGGCGGCGCGTCCTGTCCCCGGGGCTGGAGAAAGGGTGCGCACCGGCTCCCCGGCTTGGAGCGCGGGAGCAGGAAGCCTGGCCGCGGGAATGAGGGTCGGACGGGGTTGCATGCGATGAGCCGGTTCCTCTCTCTCTAGGGACCGTCGCCTAGCTTCTTTCTCCAGCGCCTTCCCAGGTCCCGACGGCGCCCCCTCTTCCCTGGCTGCCCGGCGGCCAATACTCCGCCTCGAGGCTCGAAACTGCCGGCCCTCGGCTCTCTGCCCCGACGGAACCCGGACGGCCGAGAGCCCACCCCACCCACCCACCCATAACCTCCTGTTAGGGTCAAACACTCGCGCCCCCGTGGTCGAGCTGCGAGCCGGGCAGTGTGAGAGAGATCCGGGCGGGGCACGAGACCCCCTCCCAGTCCCCGGTGCTTGGTCAGAGCGGGGGCGGGAGCGCAGCCAGACGGGGCTGCCAGCTCCCTTCCCAGCCCGCGAGGGGGCGCCGCGTCCCCATGACAACGCGGACACCCCACCCCACCCCCAGGCTCCCGGGAGGGCAGAGCCCCCCGCCAAGCCGCGCTGGGGACCGCGGGCGGTGCCTCCCCACAGTGCCCGAGTGGAGAGCCGCCGGCCGGCTCCAGGGAGGGGCGCGCGTAGCAGGGGTCCCCGACGCCCGGGGTGGTGCCCCCCGCGCGTCCCCGTTGGGTGGCCGGCACGGGGCGGGCGGCGCGGCCCCTCCAGGATTGGCTGCTTCCCCGTGACATCACGCGGCTCGGGGAAAAGTGCGAGCGTGAGCGCGAGTCTCAGCCACAGCGCCGGGAGCTGCGGGCGGAGCAGGGGCCGCCCCTCTGCACCCCGTCCCCGCCCCCGGCCCGCGGCCCGGCCGCGCGCCCCGCCCGCCGGCCCGCGGGGCCACCCCCCAGTCCCGCCGTCTGTCAGGTGCGAGGGGAACGGGGCGGAGGTGTCTGGTAAGTGACTCCGCGGCTGCGCGGGGGCGGGGGACTCGGTGGACAGAGAGGGACGCGTGGCTCCCGGACCCTCGGAGGTTCCCCGAGGCGGGCCCGACTAGGACAGGGC